TGCGTGCTGCGGCGAGGGAGCACGGGGGGACATGACGCGATCGCCAGCGAGGAGGAAAGCCCGTTGCAAAATGAGATATCGGCGAGTCACGCTTCCCCCGCCGCCGCTCGTCACGGGCGGGGGGGGGGGGGCAGGCGCTGGGATAGTCGCCGTTCCTTCCTCTCGCGCTTTTCCTGCTGCGGGTCGCCCTCTCTTTCTCTCTCTCAATAAATCACATTATTGAACCTAGTTCAATAATGTAGAGAGATAGAGTAGAAAAAGAAAGAGGGAGGGAGGAGGAGAGAGAGAGAGAGAGGAGAGAGAGGAGAGAGAGGAGAGAGAGAGAGAGAGAGAGGAGAGAGGAGAGAGAGAGAGAGAGAGAGAGAGAGAGAGAGAGAGAGAGAGAGAGAGAGAGAAGAGAGAAAGAGAGAGAGAGAGATAAAGAGAGAGAGACAGATGAAATAAGAGAAAGAGAAAGATAACGAGAAAAGAGAAGAGAGACCGCGAAAAGCGACGGAGCGCCAGGGCGACGACGGCGGCGGCGGCGGCACCCCGGCGTGGAAAAGTTACCTTGCGTCACCCTCCGCTGCTCTATTGCCAAGCTATGCAACCTTGGGCAGCCCGCCGTGTTGCAGGCCGTTGATCTCTCCGCGCTGATGCACCTCCTGGCAGCACACCAACACCTTAGCGTCAAACAATGTAACATCCAGATCACGGCTCCCCCACGCCCGCACGCCCATCATGGGATTGATAGGGCTGCTGACGAGGGAGCGGGGAAGGTGTGAACGCGCGCCGCAGAGTGGTGACTCTCTCTTGCTCCGTTTCTGTCTCTCTTCTCTTTCTACTTATCTTTCTCCCTTACTCGCTCTCACTCTCGTTCTCGCTTTCCTTCTTCTTATCCCTCTCCTTCTCCCCCTTATTTTTCCTCTTCTTCTCCTTCTTCTTCCGTTTTTCCCGTAAAATACGTCGTAGCGGTAGACAATTTATTGAAGAACCAACTTTACGCCCCCCAAAAAAAAAAAAAAAAAAAAAAAAACATTGGCTTTCCATCAAGCTTCGGGTACATTTTTTCTCCACCCCCGGAACCCGCATAAAAAGTCCCCCTCCCCCTCCCCACCCCACCCCCCCACCTCCACCCCCACCCACCCCGGTCGATAAATAAATACGGCAGAGAAAGAGAACCCGGGAGGAGACCGGCGCCACATCCCACACCACAACATACAGCATGAAGTGAATAACCCCGAGCCTCGAGTCTCTAGGAATATGATGTGCTGGCAACATAGGCAGGGGAGGGTGTGGTGGGGGTGGGAGGATGAGGGAGGAGGAGGTTGTTAGGGGGGTGAGCTGTAATGGCGTGAAGAGTACGCCTTTCGTAAGAGAGAAAAAAAAAAAACAATGGTGTTGGGCCATAATAGAGAAATTAACGATAATCTACTTGTACAAAACGAAAGAATGATCCAGTAAATAGCAAGAACAACAGCAATTATAATAACAGCGATAATAATAATAATAATAGCAATAATGCTATCAATGATAATAATAATAACAATAATAATCATAATAATAATGATAATAATAATTATTATCATAATAACATTAATATTAAAAACATTAATATTAAACATATTTCTAATAATGACCATAGTAATAATCATTATTATCATCATTATTGTTATTATCAATAACCATAACATTAATATCAATATCAGTATCGGCATCAATAACAGTCTTTATAATCATATCAATATTATCATCATTATCACCATCACTATCATTTCTATCATCATCATCATTATCATTATGATCATCATTATTGCTACTATCATCATCATCATTATTGCTACTATCATCATCATCATCATCATTATTGCTACTATCAGCATTATCACTATAATTATTATTACCATGATCATTATCACCACCCTCAATATAATTTTCACTAATAATATAAAAAAATCAAACTTAATTTCCTGCGTTTGCACCTTGTGATGAAAGCAATCAGTCGTTCGCATACGTGAAGGTATTTCTGCAATTAACGAATCCTAAGAAAAAAACTTTTATCTCATTATTTACCGAACGAGGATTTACACCTTCACTGGATTAAGATTACTTCCTCTTTTTAAATAAGAATATTGTTTTCAAATTGAGTATGATTGTAGAAAAAAGAATATTCATAAAAACGCAAAATATTAATTCTGTTCTTATAAAATAAGTCGCATTTTATTGGAACTGAAGTAAAAAAAAACATTGGATTAAGATTACTTCCTCTCTTTAAATAAGAAAATTGTTTTCAAATTGAGTAAGAATGTAGAAAAAATATATTCCTAAGAAACTAAATATATTAATTCTGTTCTTATAAAATAAGTTACGTTTTCCTGGAACTGAAGTAAAAAAGTAACTTTTCAGAAAACAATTTTTGTTGTTGTTGTTGATATAACATCTCATAACATTTTCTAACATTTTATTTTAAAAGATTCTTGTATTAGTGACTTCTTCCTGAGTCATATCTTAGAGGTAAAATTTTTAAACTTAGAAAATATGATGCGTCTTGAGCCCAAGTATCACAGTTACGTATTCAACCCTAAAACAAACCCCCAGAAAACGTTATAATTTTTCGTAAACGCCAATAAACTTACATTTCTCCAGCATTTCAATTTGCCGAGAATATCTTCCATTGGAATCCCGGGAAAAAAGAGTATATTTTTTTCTCCCTCTCTTTTTCTTCTTTTTTTCCCCCTCTCTCCTTCTTTCCCCTTTTTTTTATTCCCAATGAGAGTTACCTGTGAGACACGAGGCTGTATCCTGCTGTCGCCAGGCTAGACGGGAGCCAAAACAACCTTTGTTCACAGCTTACAACAATAACACACAAAAACACGAGCGCATCACATGGCGTGCGACGTGGATACTTGCCATAGATGGAATAATTAAGAAAGAGAATGAATAGTAAATAAATATATGGCTTTACATACCTGGAGACCTTTATCTTAGGCGTCAACAAAATGGCAGACAGTTAAGAGTTAACTTATCCTGTCAGAAGAGACGAACTTTACCTCCAAGCGCCAGAATCCATAACCGCATTTTTTACAAGTTAGAAACAAAGGGGAAAAAAATAAAAGAAAGAAGGAAAAAACGGGGGGAAAAAAAGACAGAGAAAGAAACAGATAACAATTTACAAGTCACTCTTCACTATGTCCGATTTTCCTCTTTATTTCCAGCTCCCTTCAGGGCAAGTCACCGCCAAAGACTGTGGTCGCCAACTGTCCGCGGCGCAAGGAAGTTCAGGCGAATATTCAAGCCCTGTTTAGCGGTGAAGGAAAATCCAATGTATACCAGCGACGCGAAAAAGCGAAAATCACGACTGGATATGAATAAAACGTGACTTCGGCGCGTCATCCAGTCATGTCCATAATGTACTTACTGCGGGCGTGTGTCATAGGACGATCGCATGCAGAATATTCATAATCTCATTAAGGAAAGTTCTTCCAAAAATACTCGCCGTTGTCATATGATTTCATAAAGTTTATATTCAAAGTTTTCCTCTAAATTGCTAGGACAAAACGCGAAATAATTTGAGAAATTCGTAACATCCCATAATAACGGGAAAAATCTTACATAAAATCATCAAGAAACACTAACCTATAAACGCTATCCCCGTTTTCTTTCATGTTTCGCGAAATAACTTCTAAAAAGCTCATCAGTATCTACGATGTGTGATAATTGCAATATCAAATAAGAAAAAATATTATCCACTATTATCTAAAGAAAAAAATACGAATATTTAATGTTATTGTACATAAACAAATGGTTCTTTCGTCATTTTGACAAAGCAAAAATATCTTCAGATTGAATTCAAACTTAGCACATTTTATAAATTACAAATTAAATCAAACGAGGAAAAGTATATCCTTAAGGAAAGAATTATGAAAAAATAACGAACATTTTCAAAGAATTTTAAAGTTAGGGGTATTCACTCAAATCCATTTTCTCTCGCTGTTTATGCTACCATTTTCTGTAAGACTCGCAACGGTTTACAGGGGTAACTGCTGTAGATTTGTGGGATGTCTATTATACTATTAAGAAAACTTATTATTTTGATTATACGTTCGTAATTACTATCGCCTGTAAACTGAGTTATTGGGTAAACTAAGAGCAAGAAGATAAAAATATTACATTGACTGAACTTTGAAAAGAATCCGTAGTAAAAACATAAATAAAAAGGGAATAGTCAATTATCTGAATTTTTTTAAACAAGCGAATGGCAAACAATTTTCAAAAGCATTCTCTTGAGGACATGATATAAAAAGATATATAATGTAATGAATTATCAAAATGTGATGACGACTTGATGAATTTACCCGAATTCTTAAGTTAGGGATACTCAATTGAATCCATTTTCTATCACTTCTTACGATGCCATTTTCTGTTAGACTCGCAAAGTTACACAGGGGTGACTGCTGTAGCCGTACACAATGAGTAATATACTCAGCCAAACCCATTTTCTATCACTTCTTACGGTGCCATTTTCTGTTAGTCTCGCAACTATACAGGGGTGACTGCTGTAGGCTCACATAAGGAGTGATATAATATCAAGAAAACTTATGATAATGGTTTTAAGTATGGTCTTACTTTATTACTTTATTGGTAATAATAAATATTGTCATCAATTTAACTTCGAAAAGATACGAAATAAAAAGGCTGATAATTATGAGCCGAATTTAATTGTATTTTATGTGCAGGCAAAAATTATCTAAATATGAGTATTCTCTTGGGAACATGAAGTCAAATGAAACATAATTTCTTAATTTACAAAGACATAATTCATGGAAACCGGTAATAACCAGCATCATCAGTTTTCTCGATACATCACCACAGCAAACTAATCACATAAAACACAAACAAAACAAAACAAACAAGAAAAAATAAGAAAACCACATCCATCCCCTTCCAAGTCACCTTCTCCCCAAGTTCAGAAGTTCACCACACCGCCACAATCAAACAACAACCATCTCTCGGTACGTTACCTTTGCAGGAGTCGTGGTGGTGGTCAAGCACTTCCTTCTTGACTTTGATGTGACCGAGGAGACCGGGCAGGGTTTGTGCCGGCGACTGGTTGGTGACCGGACTGCTCATCGGTCGGTCGAAGGGAGAAGACAGGAGTCCTGGGGGGAAAGAATGAGTTGCACTATGAGTGTCACGTGGAATATGGATTACGTGCATATACTTTCTGTTCTTATGACAAACATGTATAACTTTTAAGAATCTGATATTCAGCTCTCTGACTTTGGGTGGAAAGAATGAATTCAAGAATGAGAATTAAATGTAATGCAATGGCATGGAGCTCCTGTTCTTTTTCTGTTTCCTACAGTAGATATATATTTTTAAGCAGTCGTACATATACTTAGCTAATTATGGATAGAAAGAATGAATTGAAGAGTTAGAATCAAACGTGATATACTGACACACACTTCCTTGATTTGCTTTCTGTTCCTACAATAAAAATATGATTTTAAGAAAATCTTCATTCAGCTGATTTATAATAAGCAAAGTATACATTACATAATTCCTTTACTTTGTCAGAATATCACATTTGAATTTCTAGAATGCTATCATAATTTTAAAAAATGAATATGGCTTTATTTCATTTCTGAGAAAATCTATAATGAAAAATATAGCAATTTTGGGTTAGCATTAATTCACTGTCATGAAGAAATTATTTCCAAAGAATCAGCTTGCCTCATTTCAAAAGTGTAAACATGATCCTGTCTAGTAAATATGTACTCCCAATTAATCTAAGCTCCCTGTAAAGATGTTTTTTTTTTTTTAGTGTCTGTAATAGCTTATCTTGTTAAACAACCAGAAACTTTTTGCGCATTGACTCAAAAAAATAACTATACATTCCATAAATTTACACCCATATGCAGCACCTTTACCATCAGCTCTAACTGTATGTACATTATGTAGTGTGACATATTGACAAACACTGAATAAAATGCTACTTCTGTACATTATACATTATGGGTGATATACCAAGCCAATAAGAGCATATATATACACATTCATCATTATTTCCAGCATATCTGATTATATTACAGGGTACAGCAGGCACATTTTACTGACAGAGGGACAATATCTATTTGCAAAATCACACTGAAGTTGGAAAGGCATGCTCATCTTGGCAATTATCACTTACATGGTAACAATGAAAAAAAAACGGGTAAAATCATGAAGAGCAATGAAAATTTTTACATGTTATGGTCATTAAAAAAGGGAATTCTAGCTTCCACTACTTTCTTTATATCAGCCATAAAAAAATAATGAAATAGTGATATTTCCTCGGGATTTCTATCTTACAGCCAAAGCTACCATAAAGAGAGGCTGGTAATTACTTTTGATGTGATTCTGTAAAATGCATCAAGCTTATGTCCATGTGTAGGGTTTCTACCAAGATTTACATGAAACTAAGAAAGAAAAAAATTCATACCCAAGTCCTCCCAAAATGCCCAATGAGAGATCGGCCACGCTTCTTGAAATAAGAGATGGATTTCATGACATCAGAAATTGGACAACACAAAGTAATACAGAACATAAATAACAAGTCATATGAAATGAATGAAAGAAAAAGAAATGACCCTCTTCATCTTTTCAACCTCTTTAGCCTAGTAGTGAAGAAGCCATCTTATCAGTTACATGGATCTGTATGCAATTGTTGAGTGTACTCATCAGTACCTTCCATAGAGGAGCAATAGAGTCTAAAGACCTTTGATATGTGCAAGGGAATAAGTCCATTCATACTAGAGTTCATGAATCATTAATGAAATCAAGGTAAATAGAGTAGGTTTCATCATCTTCCTAAGAGGACAAGAGGAGGGGAAAAATGATCTGAAGGACTATATACCCCGAGATTGAGAAACTAGACCCAATAGGCTAGAAGATTATTTTTTGCGTACCATGAAAATACACAATAAAGGGTTATCTACCGTGACAGACAATGTTAATATCAATGTTGATTCATGGACGGTACCTCAAAACATCTCATAAAGGAGTAGAACAGAAAAGAAAACTCACCTGCTAGCAAGGGATTAGCGGCTGCCACGGAATTTTCTCTTTTGATGTGGCGAGCATCTATCAATCCATTAGCTGAGCAGTTGTTCTGCAAGGCATTCTGGAGCAGAGAGGTGCTGGAGCATCCATTTCCGACTCCGTTTGTCTCAGAGTCATTGAGCAAACTAGCAAAGGATTGGTTGCCATTTGTGTTGTGAAGATTGTTATTACTATTGGAAGAGGCCATTGGATTGTTGATGAGCTGGGAGATGAGGTGATTGTGATTGTGGTTGGGGCCAGAGAGAGGCGACGAGCGGAGGACTGAATTCAGGGTGCTGGTGCTGGACACTGCCTCCAGGGTGCTGGTTGACATGGGTTCCTCGTCGCTCTGCAAGATCATGGGGTCATTGGGGTATCTTAGTGAGATATACAGAGATGAGTCATACTGCAATACTGGTGTTGGCTTTAGGAACTAACTTTAGAATTTAATACTGTCTTCTACATCATGTGAGATGTCTATAATTAAAACAAGATTATTGATACCGTGAGCTTTAAAAACATTTCTATAAATACATATTTTTTTAAAATCAAACTGGTCTGATAATTTATACATCATTTTTTCTCACTCTTTCTCTCTCTCTCTCTCTCTACTTACACTTCCCAGCTGCTCCAACTCCTGTTTTATTTGTATCAAATGAAGATCTGAGGGCGTCTTGGCCGAATCTGTGGGCGTGGCGGGGATGGCGTCCTCCCGCCCGCACCGCCCTCGCATTCTCTCGTTTCCGACAGGATTCCCCGACAGGAACGAGTCATCGACCTGCGGGATCTGATGCCATTAGTATAGAGGAAGTAAGGAAGGAGAAAAAAGGTTTATCTATAAATAAACCTATATACAGACGAGAAAAAAGAAGGTGTCATTGGTGTGTTTCCATGAAATCTTTAGAAATTAGAAATGCGTGTCATTTTCATAAATGTAAAAACAGTGATTGACGCGTATCATTCACACCCTTTCCTTACTGAACTTATTTGCACATTTATCGTTTAACTCTGCCCAGGAGAAAGAGAACATGATTAAGGCAATGAGGTTGTACATGAGATTTCGTTGTATCTAACTTTAGGAACAAAATCATCCATATTAATTTACACAATCATTTGTTTGTTTTAAAAATAGTATATATTACATAACAACTGACTTTCGCTTTCTAAAAAAATACCTCTAGGCACAAATGCAAACCAGAAGACAACCCCCTCCTTTACCACACTAAAAGAACCCTCCCCCCCCTAACAAACAAACAACAAAACAAACACCCGTCGAAACCCCACCAAGACTCACCTCAGCAAAAATATTATCCAACTCAATGGTAGGATCAGAGATGCTTGTGAAGATCTCATCATCCTCTGTCATTTCGCCGACGAGTCCCTTGAGGTCCGCCTGTGAGAGTTCGGCCAGGTCCCCGCATTCAGGGGCTGAGGACGGGTGAGACGAGGCGAGACCTCCGATGACCCCCATTCCCATTGGGGTCATTTGGTCATTGTTGTGTCCCCCTGGGGTGGCGCTGTTGTCTGCAGCGTTTCCTCCACCAGGATCCTGTAGGAGGTAGAGGCAGAATTACGTTCGCTGTATTATCAGGGTTATGTTAACTGATCTATTTAGGATTAGCTTTAACGTTTCTCGGTTATATTAACTGGTCAATTTAGGATTACCTTTAATATTAAGTTAATATTAACTGGTGGTTCGGTTATATTAACTGGTCAACTTAAGATTACCTTCATTACTTATTAAGTTCGTTTGCTCTCGGTTATATTAACTGGTCAACTTAGGATTACCTTCATTACTTATTAAATTCGTTTGCTCTGGGTAATAGATGAATGATTTGGTAATAACTATCAAATTGGTATTAATAGAGCAACTTACTTATTTGGTCTGAACTAATTATCTCATTACCTTATTAACTAATTAACTTAATCAACTTAATAATCCCGTAATAACGTTGTATTAATCTGTAGAGTTCCTTATAGCAACAAACATTCGGCCGGTTTGTTAAAATTGCCGAGCCTCTAAGAATATTCAAATATACGGACAAGCAAATACTCAGAAATATATACATATCTATCGGTTTAGACATGTATATCTAATGGATAGATAGACAGAAAATGTACATCTATCAATTAGATTAAAAAAAAAATATATGAATTTCTTATTGCTGTATATAGACACGTCCGTATATATACGGACAAGCAAATACTCAGAAATATATACATATATAAACATTCATTGGGTCGGGCCTTGAACAATTTTAACAAACCTGCCGATTATATGTGTTTGGAAATCGGTAACTGAATCTTGCATCTAAAGTCAAAGAGAATATTTCAGATCTAAAATGCAATTGTTATTAAATACTATTTACACTATATACCTCACATGTTAACATAGCATAAACGCAACCAGTTACATTTCAAAACATTTTCTAGAGTTAGCCCTATTAAGAAAGAAAACGCTAGTATCGGCACGAGAGAAAACGAAAATTCTTTTAGGCAAGACTAAAGCATTCCAATATAGGCGCCTCACAGAAAACGGAGACTAGATCCAGAATTCAAGTTCTACGGAATTATTCAAACAGAAAGTACACAGGTACAGTCGAAAGGGCTTACAAGGCAAGAGAGGTCGACCATTTTGCCGTCGTTGTCGGGACACCAAAGAAGATTGTCGTCGATGAAGGGCATGGTGGTGGGGGCGGCTCGAAGTGGAACAAAGGCAACACCGCCACCAGGAACCCGTGACAACTTTACGTCGGCGGGACTCTTTAAT